CCTCCCCCTCATAAAGCTGCCACTGCTATGAATGTATTTGAATAATATAATAATATATTCTATACTATATGATGGAATTTCCAATTTACTATTTTTGATAGACAAAAAAGTAGAATTTATATAATTGTGTAGATTTTGGGTAAGATATTCAGTAGGTACCTTGAAAGTATCACGAATACTAAATACAATATAAGCTAGAATAATATGTTGATCGAAATAAAATTACCAACAAGTTGGAAATASATTTTTAAAAGTTTTGTTAATCTATATTTTGATGGAGTAGGTTTATATAACAAGATTGTGTGCGTCATATATCTTATATAACTATCTATATGGGCTTTGTTTGTGCTCAACAATATGATAACAATAATAGCAACAAATATACTCATCAATGATGAGAACAAAAAAGATTAAAATAAAATGACTCCTCCGCTATTAACAAAACCCTACGTGGGGGTGGAGTGGCCGAGCGGACTAAGGCGTCTGTTGCGACGCACGCAGTCGCCGGTTCGTATCTCGGTCACGGGCGGCATCGCTCTTTGGGCATTTCGCGGTGTCTGGAGAGAGAGGTCGCCGCCCCCCCAACCGGGCATGGCAGAAACCTACGGGTGCCCATTCAAAATTCTGCCAAAAAAAACCCACGTGTTAAAAACCTACAGTCGTACCTTCCCCTACAGCTCCCCAGGCGGCTAATGACCTCAGTTGTCGAAGCCTTAACCCTAAAAAAAAAAAACCCTACGTGTAACATATTATATCAATGACGGGAAATGGGAAAGTTTTAGGAGGAACAAGACGAGGAAAGCCGAAAGCGAATGAAAACGTTTGGCGGTAGTCATATCGTCGCTGTTTTTGTTCACCTCGGTAAGCGTGTAGGCGAAGAGTGTATTGAACTTCGGCCGCGGACTCGGCTGTAACCGACCAACAGGTCCACACGTCCAGGTGATGCGATCCGACCGATTTGATCTGCACCCAACACTGGCCCTTGTGACTGGAAACTTCGCCGGACGGGCCTGTCATGCGGCAGTAAAACGCCTTCGGTGGTCCGCACGTGACGTTCACCGCGGTACCTATGGTCACGCGAATAGTGCTCGACTTGGGCCATTGCTTCGCTGTAAACACACATACCACGCGCGTCTTGATTAAAATATTAATATTAGAAACTAGTGTTGTAATAAATGTATGTATATAGGAACTATTATTATAGCATCGGTAATASTCTATGTAGTATGGAAGTGTTAATATTGTTTGGTTAAATTAGTCCAATTAACTGCTGTTTGTTAAAGGCTATTATTATTCACTATAATTTATCAAAAATGAGAAAAGTGTGGTTTTCAGGTTAGTTTTTAACTGTAAATTATTATATATTTATATTACAACCAATAAGTCTGTGGCTATGTTTATTTAAATTATACTTCAGGTACCTATGTACTATTTATTAAAAAAATTWAAAAAATTTAAAAGTAAGTATTGTCGAAGAAATATTTTTGTGTGACGTGGATAATGCAAGTAGATATATGTTATATGAATAGGCATTGRCGCAACAAGAGGGGTGATTTGGGTCTTTAGCACCCTCTTAATAAAAATTATCACCCTAAAAAATTGTTTAGAAAGCCCTATTAAGTCACAACAGAATCTRGAGCTTTAGCAATGTACAATGTCTAGTTGCGCCGATGTGAATAGGTAGATACTACATGTACTATGTAAAAATTCATTATAAAATTGAATAATAAAATAATATTTTTA